GGTACACCTATTTGCATCCAGGGAAACATCACACTACCAACTGTGGTTTTCCCTAACTCATCCAGCCCCTCTGGGGTTGGATGCAATAGTACAGGAGTGGCCGAGGTCACGCCTGTGCGCATTTCCCCTGATTGCTCTGCTCCCAGGAGTTCTGGAGAGGATTCGCCAGTCTATTGTTGGTAGCCTCCAGTGGGACCTTCTCTCTCAGGTGAGCGGGTCGATACTTCACCCCTGTCCAGATCTATGGAGGTTGTGGGCTTGGCCTCTGTGGGGGCCTAGCTCATAGAATCTGGTCTCTCAACTGAGGTTGTGACCATCCTCCACTCCAGAGCTCCAGCCACTAGGAAATTATATGCCTTGAGGTGGAAGATGTTCACCTCTTGGTGTGGGGAACACCAGTTGGACCCAGTTAACTGCCCGTTGGGTGCAGTGCTGGAGTTCCTTCTGGAGTGTTTCTCCACAGGGTTATCCCATTCCTCACTGAAGGTGTATGTGGTGGCCTTATCTGCTTACCACATCCCTTTGAGTGAAGCCTCTCTCGGGAGACACCTGGACCTGGCAGTTGTTCTAGAAGGTCTCTCTCTAGCACTTTTAGGCATTTTTACCCCGTTTTTTTTTATCAGTGTAAAAATGAGTGTATCTTAAAAACGCATTTATGTAAACAGTTCAAATCAATTCTGTATAGTTTAAAATTGTTTTATGCACGTTTTTCACATTGACAAGTTTGAGGTTGACATTTATCCATTTTTTTTGTATTGAATAAAATATGTAGAATCTTTATATATATATATTCCTCTCCCTACTGTTGATGATTATATCTTACAATGCACATACTTCTGAAAATATAACACATTCATAAGGCATAACTACTAATTAAAATAGTTAATGTTTTTCACAGTCATTAATTCATACTGTAACATTTGTCTGTTTGTTGTGAAAAGTTGCACTTTGTTTGAAATATCAAACCTGTTCACCCAAAGGAAACCTTGATGAAGTGCTATTAGGAGACATCCTGGCATAGCTTTTTGGTGCATAATGGCTACCGTAGAAGCAAGATGCATTTGGAAAATCTAGGCGCTGGAGAGCACAATTCATTTGAATGCATACAATTTAACTGCTAGATGGGAAAATTTTCCTAGACAATTTTTTTGTCTATACTATACTTCAAAGCCTTTTTAGAGTGCACATGTGAGGCATTCAGTGTATTTAATAGCTAAAAGTTGATTCTGTTTTATCTGACGGCTTCAGAGAACTTTTACAGAGATATACAGAGAAATGTACGGAGAGCCTTTGAACAAACAGAAAAAGATACTGATTAATTAAGCTCACAATAAGATAATTATAGTGTCGTAATTAAAAATGAAAGATTACCTGACTGCCTCAAACAAGGCCGATAATGTTCATGATGTACTGGAACCACACCACACTCCAGCTTTAGGAGGCCGGCATTTGCTAACTCAGCTGCTCTCGTTTACAAGAGTTCTCTTAAGTCCTAATAAAGAGTTAAAGTAGCTCCCGGCACATTAGATCACAGCTAGTGGTGTTATACTTGAGCGCCACGTGGAAGAATTCCATCAAAACTGCCTCCTGCAGATTCTTTTGATCCTGATGCTGTTTGTTATTAGCACACTGTTGCCTGCTAATTCTTTATACTTCCAGGGAAGTAACACCACCTTCACCCATCAAAGAGGTGGTCGTTAACCCTCACACTATTTTTAATGTAAGGAGAGCAGAGGGATCTATTTTCTAAACCAAGATGGATCAGAGATTACCTGACAAATCCAATCACACTGCTCTTGTCAAGAGAATCTGCATTGATCCCTTATACATCCTCAAATAAAACAGCAGATGGTTTTAGCATGCCCAATTTGTTTTTCAAATAATTTCAGAGTAAGCGGATTTCATGATGATAAAGAGGCTCTGTAACTGTCAACTCAATTTGTTCATTTTGTCCCACTAAGAATGCTTTCATCATGACAGCATGTGCATTTTTACCATTCAATATACTTACATGTTATCTTGCAAAATTGTGCTTTTACGTAGAATCTTTCTATTTTAAGTAGACACCCGTGTAGACTTTTGCTCTGAGAACCAAATGAAGGTAATTTTCAGCACTCTAAAATATGGTGAGCACATACTGTATGATAATAATGTAAAATCAAAATAATTTAAAACGAGTTCATGAAACCAAGGCTCATGATGTTCCTAGTGTTTCTTTGTGTCATCATTTTAAAAGATGCAATGTATGCATCCAGTTTCCCCTCCACAGCAGTCTGCCACCTCCTAAATTTTTATTGTGCGGAGCGTGGCTGGCAAGGCAAAACCACTCATGTTTTATGAGTGAAGAAATCGAAATGAGATCGAGTTGAGGGGAACACAAACACACATTTGTTTTTCTGTCATGGTGGGGACCTTACTTGGTCTACTGTTGTTCTTTTACTGAGGTAATGCTATTTTCTGTCCCTTAATTAGGGGTGTCACTACTAGATAAGTCCTTGTCTGATAAATATAGCTGATAAATCCTTGTCTGATGATTGAGAGATTGAGAATCATTTACCCTGATAATATATTTCAGCAATTTTTTTTGTGCGTTTTCTATCAGCTGTTCAGAATGTGAACTAGCAATGGCAGATTCGTGAATGAATCTCTCATTTAAATGGTTTTCAAGAAGTTCTAACAATTGTTTGCAATTTAGTTTGATTGATTCAGACACTTTACTCGTGCACTGAATCGTTTGTATAATTTTCCCATAACACAATGGGCTACTAAAAATAAAACACTGCTGAATGAGGTGATATTTACTTACTAAAGACTTTGTGTGTTAACAATGAAGCAGCTCTTAATTAACTCTTTCCCCACCAAATACATAATTTTCTGTGTTTTCCTGTTTTCACTGTTATATACTAGGGGGCACTATGACACATCTTCTGAAAGTGTATTGAATCTCCTGATCAAAACACATGCGATGCAGAAACAAGTGATCTCATATGTAATCATATGCATATTTAATTTAACACAATCATCAACATTAAACAGCATATAAATCAAAACTGCCTAATGTCACTGAAAGAAATGTCAAGCACAAGCTATTGGATTGTGAAGATTTAGGGATGTTGATGGATTCTATCTATATGATCTACTGTATATGTTTTAATCATTTTTCTAAATCCGATCCAGATGTAGTCTTTGACAAAAGTGTGATTTTCTCATTTTTTTTGCTCAAAATGTAGCCTTTTTCGTTAAACTTATTCAAGTGTTGACAAAAAAAACGGAGCTCCCTCGGTTCACCTCAAAGAGCATGCACAGAGAAGTCCAAATTAAACATGATTAAATGACTCGTAAATGTAAGTACACATTGATGGCCTTAGACACAAAACGAGCGGTTTGTGTGAGAAAACGAATATAATTTATATAGTTTTTACCTCGTGTTTTTACCTCGTGTGGAGGTATGATGGAATATGATTTCGATATATCTAAATATGTTTAGTGAAAGCTAAAACTTTTGAAATCTCTGTGTAAACAATGAGTGACGTAGACACACAACCGATCACTTCCGGCACATGCGCAGACCGAAGCGCCCGTGCCGTCAGATCAGTTTGACTTGGCTGTGTTACACAAGGTAAAAACGATATAAATACTGTTCGTTTTCTCACACAAACCGCTCGTTTCGTGTCTTAGGCCATCAATGTGTACTTACATTTAGGAGTCATTAAATCATGTATAATTTGGACTTCTCTGTGCATGCTCTTTGAGGTGAACCGAGGGTTCCCCTTAGAATCCAGTGTATGACTAATAGACGACAACGGTTTGACCGAAAAATATAAAAACTGAAAATACTGTGGAAACAAAGACATCTACATCTTGGATGCCCTTGAGGTAAGCTAAAACATAACAAAAAATAATTTCAAAGTGAATTATCCCTTTAAAATAGCATCTGAATAACATGCCACTGACTTTAGACTATGTTTATCCTGGTTTGTGGCAGAATTGTTTTCTAGAACTGCAAAATAGCACCAGGGAATGTTTGCGCCGGAACATGTGTCCTCTTTTCAATGAACCGCCCCAAGGAGCGCAAGTTCATTCCCCAATTTACCGACGTGCGTCGGTGGAGGGAAAAGTCTAGTGTGTGTCGGGTGCAAAATTAGGAATGATACATGCATCGGTGTACAAAGTGAATTGAGCTGGGTCCTTAGTTTGTTTAAGCTGTTGTCATTGTGAGGCCTGGTGAAACCTGAGGATATTAAGAGGGTTATAAACTGCCCAGAAATACTATAAACTATTTTCATTCATAGACATGACATCTCATTAATGCATAACATAAGCATGTTAATAAACACTTTTTGAGGTTTTGCAGTCTAGACATGGTAGATTTCCACTGGTGATCTGGATGGTCTCATTTGCCATCATAAGTAATTTTTAGAGTTGGGCCCAGCGGGTTACGCAGGTTTGCCATGTGTATGCTATCCTTGCTTTGCCATTTGTGAATGGCAGCCCCTCAGGAGAATGAGGGTGTACATAGAGACGCTGTGGACCTAGGAACCTGCGAGGGACACACAGCACGTCTGAGCGTGAGGGGAAGCCCTGTGCTTTTTGAAGTGGAACCTCAGAGACGTGTTTACTCTTCTGGGATCTGGGCCACACAAGAATGCGTGTGTCATGACGGGATGTAGGAGCTGAGGAATGTTCCTCACAATCCCCACACTGTAGGCCAGAGCCGGCCAAATTGCAAGATATTTGAAATATTTGTTTTAGCATCAGCGTTTAAAAAAGACATTGGTTTATAGCCTGGATTGATGTCTGTTAGGATTGAATCCTTGTTGGGATTGCTTTCTGTTGTTCTTGGCTGGCATCCACTTGCACTCTGTAAAGAAGAAGAGAAAAAAGAAAACTTGCAAGACGCTAGTGCTAATGCACAGATATCCTTAAGATGTTTAACATGCTGGTGTTGTCAAATGATTAAGAAAAGGTGCTTTTTTGTGACTAACCATTTTGTCTTGCAGAGCCTGAATTGAATGCGCCAAGGATGCTGGACAGTATTGCTAAACAAGTCAAAAGGACAGTCAGGAGACGGAGGCACGCTGGTGACGATGACTACAATATTGAGGTGCTGCTTGGAGTAGATGATTCTGTTGTCCGTTTTCATGGGAAAGAGCATGTGCAAAACTATCTCCTCACCCTCATGAACATTGTGAGTATCCTATCATCTTTAGCAGGGCTCAACCGGATTACTTATTTAATTACTTAATGAATTTATTTATTTATTTTGGGTGCTAGAACACAATATTATTTACCATATATAAACATATGAAGAGTTCAGATGCAAAAGCCTCTAAGTGCCATTTGAAATTTTCTTCTAAAATGATAATTTTTATAAAGCTTGTATATTTAAGTTCAGTAATTTCACTTAAATGGCAATGAAGATTACCTATTAATTGCCAATTAAGTGAAATTACTGAACTTAAATATACAAGCTTGATAAAAATGACCATTCTAGAAGAAAATTTCAAATGGCATTTAGAGGCTTTTGCATCTGAACTCTTCATATACAGGGCTTTACATTAGGGGTTGAATTTTAAATAATTTACATTTTCAATTGTTGTCTTTTAAAAAGGCATCTAAAATAATAAACTAAGATCAGTCAAGTGATTTTAGATACATATTCATACTTATTCCGACATATTTTGTGCTCACACCCAAAGTGCGTGCATATAAAGACAAGTATATTGGCTATATAAAACAGTATAATAGGTCTGTGTGTCAGGTTTTAAAGTGACAACACCCTATATATAGATACACACACATCATCAATTAAAAAATATGAATAAATAAAGAAAGACTGGAACAATAAAATATTTAATGAAACTGGTGATTCAATCCCCCAAATTCACTGACATACCCCACAACTGGCCAAAAACTGTCTCACACTGGCCCCTGACCATCAGGCCATCTTTATTGTTGAGCAACCAATTCTCTTCTTCCCCATAAAAGCTCTTGATTCAGTCCTCTGATGCACATAAATGAAAAGCATAAGTGTTTTTGCTATTTTACTAATTCATTTCATTCATGATTGCTGATGACAAAATACCTCTTTAAGTGGATGGTGGCAGTCCAAATTTGCTTATACGCAAATGTGCCATTAAACTGCACCTGTAAAGATATTGACCTTTTATGAGTGGTAACATTGTCCAGATGTGGTCCTGTCTGTGACATTTCCTGTTTTTGGAGGAAAAGCTCATAAATATATCTATTTTTTATATCTATAAATATAAACGTGACCACAGATACACTGTGTAATCTGTGGAGATAGTAGCATCATAGATTCAGCACATAAACTATTCAACCGTTGACACAAAGCTCCTTATGTCTGATGTATTTATGTTGCCCTTCATCTGATTGCATAATGTTACAGGATTAGATGCAACTCACCCTCGCTTGAACAATTTGCAAGAATTGATGTCAATATATTTAAAGGAAATCTCTACTTTCTTTTGGAGAGGAGTTATTTTCTTTTTTCATCTTGATGTGTCACACAAGGCATAGACCAAATGTGGAATACTTGAGGATGTGGCTGAGAAATAAAGTAGCTATGAAATAGCGATGTCTATTACACTTTAAGATTGAACCGCTGCTTTTGAGAAATGTAGAAGTCCTTCCTCCAGTAGATGTCCCTGCTGCTACACCACTACATTGATGAGATGAACACTACAATGTTTAATAAACCCTCACTAAAGATTGGCCCAGCATTCAGAATGTAATGAGCTCTGTATACAAATGTAGCATCACTACAACTTTCACACATGCAGATTCTGTGGTTAGGCCCCTTGCATGCCTATTTAAAGAACTGCTGCCTGAAGAGGACAATTATCTGTATCAAACACAGCTTCTGTTTAATTGCACAAGGCGGCTGTGACGGAGAGAGGGGGGCAGTTGGAAAGAGACTTCCCATCCTCTTCTGATTTAGAGTTGTTTATAGGCAATCTGTGTTCATATGCCAGTGGAGAATTTAATCATTTTGCACATGTAAATTGTTGCTGCTTCCTACAACAAATTATTACAGCAACACAGATCTGCTGAGGCATACGTTTTCTTTCTGTGTGGTGTGTGGAATGTGGTGGAAATGTGTGAGACGTTGACAGTGGCGTAACACACACAGGTGTAGGTGTGTGTGTGTGTGTGATGGGGTATACATGAGAGTGTGAACATGCTAATAGCCTGTTTAGCTTTTATTGAACAGATGAACATTATGTCAATGTTTTATTATGTTGGAGTTTGTACAGTATGTATCACATCACTGCAGTTCTGAATTTATATGTCCGACGAGTGGAGCTAAAAGCTTAATTCTCCATGGTTTAAAATAACGTACACCTACACTAAAACTACCATAAAGTGTTATAAGCAAATGTGACATATACGCAATCGTGGCATTTTAGCTTGATTTTGAACTTTGAGTTCTTGTGTCGTCACTCTTTCACAAGGTTCGTATCCGAAATTTCCGCATCATAAGTACAATTATGTACCAACTCAGCTACTGAGCAAGCTTAATACTGTACTTCAGTATAACTGAACATACTGAGGTGGTTAAATTATGCAAACTTCAATATACATTTGTTAATAAACCATGCACTATGGTGAAAAGTGTTTTGAGGTCATAAGATAATTGTGCAAGGAGCCACATGAAAACAAGTGTTTATTAATACATACAGTAATATGCCACTGTAATCATAATTGTCTGTGAAAACGATTAAAAGTGCTGTTTTACTGCCTCTAGTGTTCATTTCGTCCCTGGCAAAAAGCGGTGGAGACATGTGCCACCCGTCCCATCCGTAAATTACGCCTATGGGCGTTGAATTCATAAGCATATAGCATGTATGTAATTGGTGTATGTTGCTTTTAAGTGTGGCCAGTTTTGGAAATAATCTCCAGAAGGTTTCGATGAAACATTTGTACCATTTAGGATGTAGTCATTCATTACAGCATCACACCTTGCATTCAAACAGCAAAACTGTGCCTTTAAAACGCACACCCCACACAGCAGGCTCTTAGCTAGGTGGAGAAGGAAAAACATCTGAACCTTAAAAAAAGGCCTCTGTATGACCAGCTAAACAATGGGCCCTTTTTATTTATCAACCTTTTATAGGCTTTTCCATGCCAAATGTAGCCCCAAATCCTGTCTAAAAACGCCTTCTATGCCTCAGAGAGCCACTCTTATGGGTCTGAGATCCATTTCCTCCAACTCTCTTTATCTTGATTCTGTTGTTAAAATCTTTCCTTTCTCTTGCTCATTGTCAATCATGGTGAGGTTTCAGAAATGGAATGAAGCAGTATTTGTTTTTACAGTCCATGGAGTTGATAAAATCAGTAGCTATCATAATTGACTTGGTGGAGTATGATGCAACTTTTTGCCTGAAATCCATTTTTCATTGTTTTGTCAATTATTATCAATTATGTTGAATTTAAGGGATAATGATGTATTTTTCATCATGTGTTTACAGGTGAATGAGATCTACCACGAAGAATCATTGGGAGTGCACATTAATGTTGTCCTTGTGAGGATGATAATGCTTGGATATGCTAAGGTAAATAACTGCTAAATATCTCTTTTATAAACCATAATGGGTCATATCATATATATTTCTTACATAAAATGTAATACTTTATATCTTTATTTATTTACCTAATTTTTTCATGACAACTGTCCATTTTAATTTTTATAGTTTTAGTAATTTTCCATTTTTTTGTCTTTTTTATTAGTTTTTTAAACTAATGTATAGCATAGTTAGTATAGTCTGTATTGTTTTTTACTATATATTTACTATATATTTATATAAGTGAAACCAAATTGAAAAATTTTGCTTTGACAACTAGTCAAATAAGTTTTATTTTATTTTATTTAACCGTTATTTAAGTAGCAGAAATGCTTTAACAATAAAACAATAGCCCTGCAATGTTGCCAGGTGCATTTATCAACTTTTTGTATGTTTATCTTTGCTACCGATTTCCTTGTTCCTTTGTTCCCATTTATCATCAGTTCCCATGGTTTTTCATTATATGACTAATTTACGGACAACTGTCTGTACTTTAGTTTGTTATCCTGTGTACATGTACTCACTGTAACATTGTATATTCTCGATGGAGCTAGTACCGCTTTTGTTTATTAACGCTAACGTTTATGTTTGAATACTATCTTTCTCCTCATGATCTTTTGTGGAGCTAACCTTGACAGTTACCACCACAGTTTTGAAATGTGCAATAATTTGGTCTGTAGAGGGAGACAGGGAGAGGACAACAACTATTGGTAGTCCAGCTTATCTCTGTCTAATTATGACAGTATCTAAACCTGTCACTAATGCACACAGCCATTCACAATTGAAAGCAAAACAATACATACAAATATACTATTTTGTAAGCTCATAATTCAGTCCACAAATACGCAAAGGTCATTTTATGACTGTTTTGTAATACACAAATTATAGCAACATGGTTTGTTCTTTGCCAAATACATGTTTATGTGATTAATAACTTAAATGTATCAGGGGAAAAAAAAACAGCAACAACAAAATGGAGTTTTACTTTATTATACTGTAGTTTGCAAATGAAAAGGTTTGAATTTCACCTTCAAATATCTAGACTACTCTCTTGACTATTAATAAACAGGAGTTTATCTTAAAGACGTTAAACAAACAGACCCAAAGTGATCAATGTGAGTCAGTTTAAGGTGTTTTATAGATTAATGAATGGTGATAGTGTCCCCCTATTGAGTCTCTAATATTTTTTCTCAGTCCATCAGTCTCATTGAACGTGGCAACCCTTCACGAAGCCTGGAGAATGTGTGTCGCTGGGCATTCGTCCAGCAGAAAGAGGATCCAGAGCATTCAGAGCATCACGACCATGCTATCTTCCTGACCCGGCAAGGTTTTGGCCCCACCGGGATGCAAGGTTTGACTTTTTTTGGTCTTTAACATGCCTCAGAATTTCAAACATGTCCTTCCTTGTCATGTATAGCATTTTTCACACACAAAATCGTACATCTTAAATATGTTCATTCTGTGAAAAAGGTCAGGCTGTCTCTCTCTCTCTCTCTCTCTCTCTAAAACTCTCTTACAGTCCCCATGGGTTTCTGTCAGCACCACATCAATGCTGTAAGAAATGTCTGATAGAATGCTGCCTGGTGTAAAATCTCCTCTTCAGACAGATGGTAGATGTGTAAAAAAGGTTCACACTGGAAAAGGATAGAAGAGAGACATCAAAGCCCACTTACATAAGCACATAAGAAAACGGGATTTCGTTGTCTAAGGATTGAGGCGGCAGCTGAAGCAGCAGTCCTCTCAGGGCATATATCCTTCAGCACTGACAAAGTTCACACAGTGCACATTTAACATCTATTCAACCTGACAGGAAAACTCAAGCTTTTTCCGAGAAGAGCACTGATCTCAGCATGAAGTGTTTATGCTGTCACTGCGACTCTCACATTTCCTTTATCATGCCACTTTATGTACTCAGCGGGCCTCGTTAATCACCCGAGAAGAGCTCTTTGGCCTCTCCACCTACCTGTTGCGCATTTGTTGTCTGGCAGCGGTGATATTGAGCTAATCAGAGCCGATGTGCTTTATTGGCTTATATAAATATAGCTTTAGAGCTGAGATCGGTAACGCTTTAGATTACAGCCCTGAAAGTACTGTGCAAATAAAACGAATTTACAGCGTAACTTTCTGTCATTTTAGTGTTACAATATAGTACGCACGTGTAGGTATACACCTAGATTATAAAAACCTTATAAAAAATGAATTTTGCATAATAGCTAGGTAAATCTAGGCAATCTTTAATATGGAATCCCATACATCTTGCTATTTTGTTTAATGTGTTAAAAGAAAAATACAGTACACCAATGTTCCCTCTATACTGCTCGCGTGCACGGCTGCCCACTTCTGAAGCCGCGGCCGCACAGAAAATAATAAAATGCCACGTAGAGGACTGACGCGAAATGTGTAGGGAAATCCAATCCATTTGATTGTGGTTTAAGTGAGAAATAATTTCAGTGCTCTGGTCAACCGCTATAGAGTGAAAACTGGCGAATGCAGTTTACAGGTTTCACACAGAAAGAGAATGATGTGAGCACATGTGATTGGCAGTGAGTCGTGTGTGCGGACGAGGCAACGAGAAACGCAAATACATGTGAAATAAAATCACATCATAATGTTTTAAAGAGGAGTAGTTTGATTAAAGTGGTGGAAATAACGGTTGATGGACACAGAACGGTGAAGATGTTTTTGTGTGTGAGGGAGTTTCAGGCATGGTTAGATTACTATAAAAGAGTTCACATATTCACTTCTCTTGAAAATATTTAGCTATTAGATCTATTTAAATGCTTCAGTTTGTTTTCATACTATATGTAAACAAATTGAAGCATTTCAACTGATATATTATATCACTTCAAATCCTTCAATTATTTTTTTATATTATATTATATTATATTATATTATATTATATTAGGCCTATATTTTATTATATTATAAGCCTCAATAAAGAATCTCACTAGGGTGTTGTTTAGGGCTCATTGCCATTAAAAAGTTTGAACCTTCTAAAGAAAATATTGGAAATTCATAAGGAATAAACAATCACTTAACTTTGATGGTTTATTTCTTATTAAACCATCAAAGTTAAATAATTGTTTATTCCTTATGAATTTTTCAATATTTTCTTTAGCAGGGGGTTTCAACATTTTTAATGGTAATGAGCCCTAAACAATAGACAATTAATTGACTGTACAAAACCAATAAGTTACATAAAGGGTCAAATAAAAAAAAGTGAATGTTGAAACCATTGTGTTTCTACATATGCTGTACAGGTACAGGTACAAAGAATATTTTTGCTCAGGTCCACCCAATAGAATTATTTGCTCAGCAAGAAAAAAAAAAAAATAGAGGGAACATTGCAGTACACCCAGAAATGTCCTCAACATTTACTCATCTTTTACCCTCATGGCATCCGAGATGTATATAACTTTCTTTCTTCAGATGAAAACAAATAAATGTTTAAAAAAAAAAAAAAATACATTATATCTGCTAATGCAAGCTCACGGGTTCCTAAAAGTCAAACAGCATACAGCAATATTGATAGTAATCCATCGAACCACAATGGATGAATCAATGCCTTCTGTAGTGAAACGATAAGTGTTTGTAAGAGCTTTTTTTATTATCCCCATATATCATTATCAATCTCTCAGAACAAGTGGTTCTCCTCTCCTCTCCTCTCCGATCCGATCCGATTAATTTTCCTCTATTTTCCACATATATTGTTGTTGTAAGCACAACTAACATAATTAACTAACATCCCAAATAAATGATTTGGCAAAATACAATGAATGCTGTCATGTTATCTTGTGTTCAGATGCTTGGTGTTTGGTAATGAATTCATGTAAGACACTTTTGGGAGGTCATTATTACAAATCATTCTGATGACAGACTTTGGCTCAGACAAATGTTTTTTTTTTTCCTTTTTGATTAAACCAACATTTGAGATGTTGTGCAATAGAATTGGTCCACAGGTTAGTTCAGTTCCAATCACTGTTGAGTCGTAAAATATGAACTTTTTTGCTGTGCATCGAGGGATTTATTCGTTAAATGTGTTTCTGTTGTAGTTTATGCACATGTCCTCTTATCGGATAATAACATTGATCATCCACCTCATCTTGGCGTTTCCATCCTGTTTTTTTTTATATGATTTCCCAAAATGCACATAAACAGGTGGATGGAAACATAGCTAGTGTTTACTTTTTAAGGGAACAGGACGAGAACATATATAGTAAATTCTACTGGTGAATGTTTTTACATTACATGTTAATATGTACACACACAGACTCTTTAAAAAGCAACGCAATTGGCCAAATCACTTTGCACCACAAATGCCTTTACCAAGAAAAATACAATCATTTCACAAACTGAGAAAAGTTCTTTACACATCACTCATTTCTGAATTTTATATTTATGTTGACACTTTTTTGTAATTAATTATTATTGACTGCATGCCAAACTGCCAGTGTGTTATACCAATTGCACATTTCACTGTATTTCACTTCGAACAAAGTGACTGTCTTTGTCCAACACAATGAAATGTGATGTAATGACAGCTGGTAGGTTGACATTGTTTTGGCACATGCTGTCACCTTTGCTGGAAAGACTATAATTGGTTCCATCCGCCTCCAACAATCCTCAAATATGTATTTGAATTGTTAGTAAAATTGCCATTACATGTCATATCTAAATGAAAGAAACTGAAAAAATAATGAAAAATCATATCTAATTGTCAATTGTCATGGACAGCTCTTTGCAGAGTTGTCAGCATTACTCTTCTTAAAGAATTACACCAAGTACACCAAGCAGCAAGCTGTCAGACTGTAGAATCAGAGAGAAAGTTATGACAGAAAAAAAAAAAAGAAACCCTAACCATTTCATCTCCTCTGTCTGTCTCTGTCACTCACTCTTAGGATATGCCCCCGTCACTGGGATGTGCCACCCTGTCCGCAGCTGCACCCTCAATCATGAAGACGGCTTCTCTTCTGCCTTCGTTGTAGCCCACGAAACCGGACATGTGTAGGTTTTTAAACATGACCAGGTGCTTTTCAGCCATTTCAGATTGATCTTTTGTAAAGTGTTTTATGTCAGTCTGAACATTAGTGGTTTCACATTTGAATAAAAAAAATAGTATTTTTGTAAACCGCATTAACGTAAATAGGCATAGCTAATGTACTTTACTGTCTGCTCTCAAGGTGAGGGCTCTATTAAGAGTAACACAAAGAAGAAAATGAAATGTTAATGCCTCATACAAGTGAACTTGATTATCTTTTGAGGAAAGAAATGTCAGTATATTTAAGAATTAGATAATATTTTGTCCTTACTTACTTCCTTGATGTAAAGTCAGTCTCTCACATTGTTAAAAACATCCCTCGTGTTAATTTTTGAGCTCATGCTTGAGAGTCCTTGGCCACTGTCTCTACAAGCCTAATTAGTCTAGCCTGTTCCCTTTTGTGGGTGAGCTTAAATTTCTTTTTTTGCTAAAAGTCTGTAGGCATCTAACAATCAAAGAGGTTTCATAAAAACCCAACACCTCCTACACACAGATTAGTCATTGAGGCACACTCTTTTTCTCCTTCTCTATATTGAAACTATTGTCCAGGACTTCACCCTCTCAAACTCCCCTGTCTCTATCTGTGTATCTTTTTCTTTCAAATGCCTTTATCCGGTTTTCATTGAACACATGTCAAAGAATGACAAACCATCATTACTCTGCATCTTGCCACCATCCTACTGATAGTCTTTCATTTAGTTTAGCTTTAGCACAGACTGAAATAACATTTTATTTATTTCAAAGAGAGATGTCAGGGTGATTTTCTCATTTTCTGGCTGACAGCCAATTGATTCCTTCTTAAGCCTCCATCCTTCCTCTTTCCATACCAGTTCCAAACTTATCAATCTTTTCGACATATATATATATATATATATATATATATATATATATATATGTGTGTGTGTTTGACTCCCCTTTCGCCTTCAAAACTGTCTTAATTCTATGTGGCATTGATTCAACAAGGTGCTGAAAGCAACATTAGAAACGTTGGCCCATATTGATAGGAAAGCATCTTGCAGTTGATGGAGATTTGTGGGATGCACATGCAGGGCACGAAGCTCCCGTTCCACCACATCCCAAAGATGGTGACCGTGGGGGCCATTTTAGTACAGTGAACTCATTCTCATGTTCAAGAAACCAATTTGAAATGATTCAGGCTTTGTGACATGGTGCATTATCGTACTGGAAGTAGCCATCAGAGGATGGGTACATGGTGGCCATAAAGAGATGGACACAGTCAGAAACAATGCTGAGGTAGTCCGCGGCATTTCAATGATGCCCAATTGGCACTAAGGGGCAAAAAGTGTGCCAAGAAAACATCCCCCTCACCATTACACCACCAGCAGCAGCCTGCACAGTGGTAATAAGGCATGATGGTCAGTTCCACGTTCTCATTCTGTTTACGCCAAATTCTGACTCTACCATCTCTACCACTCTACTCTAGCTTCCGAGACTCATCAGACAGGCAACATTTCTCCAACATCTTCAACTGTCAAATTTTGGTGAGCTCTTGTAAATTGTAGCCTCTTTTTCCTATTTGTAGTGGAGATGAGTGGTACCTGATGGGGTCTTCTGCTGTTGTTGCCTATCCACCTGAAGTTTGTGCGTGCTGTGGTTTCACAAATGCTTTGCTTTATACCTCGGTTGTAACGAGGGGTTATTTCCGTCAAAGTTTCGCCCACAGGACTGCCGCATACTGGATGTTTTTTCCCTTTTCACACCATTTTTTGTAAACCCTAGAAATGGTTGTGCGTGAAAATCCCAGTAAATAAATACCAGAAAATACCAGGACCACATCCCTAAATGCATTGAAGCAACTGGCATGTGATTGGTTGATTAGATAATTGCATTAATGAGAAACTGAACAGGTGTTAATCCTTTAGGTGAGTGTGTATACTGTATATATATATATATATATATATATATATATCATGACCATGTCCATTCCTTTATGGCCATCATGTACCCATCATCTGATGGCCTTTTCCAGCAGGATAATGCACCATGTCACAAAGCTCGAATATATATATATATATATATACATATATATAAACAGTTCGGTACGTTTTCGATACAGCAGAAAGAAAGAAATGCCAGAGAAATTTCCTATTTTTTAAAAGAAACAAATGTAATGGCAAGTTTGTAAATGGGAGTCATTTTTGAAGGATGAACAAATAATGTTTTGGTCATCACATTAAAAATAACATTGAAATATATATTTGTTTATATAATATTTGAGTTTTGAAGTGCTGGAATAAGATAAGCATTTCACTATTCCAGCCTAACTGGTTACAGTTAGTGTTACTACGGTATATTAAATCCATGGTGAATGTTGCTGGTCTGTGGACTAGTAAAGTATTATTAGTTCATTCATGGCACAATGTTTCTCCTGGTAATTACATCAGCGCTGTTTGATCTAATAGAGATCTACGGGTAATAACGCAAAAATGTGAATGCTTCGAGAAACTAGATCTCGCAGCGAGATCTAGTGGTGAATTCAAATGTTAATAATAATATTATACACATATATGTACATATATATATATATATATATATATATATATATATTTAATAGACTTCTTTCAAAAACAAGAACAAATCTACTTAGTGCTAGTGTAGATGTTTAAAAGTAGTATTGTTTGTTTTGAAGCATTTAATTAATCTCTTCTGGGTTTATTTATGTTTGATATTTAATACACATGAGTAAGATTTCATTGTGGGCAAGGTTATCCCCTGCAATACTGTAAACATAATCAACACATCTAGTTAGGCAAACAATTCAGATCATCAATAGCTTTTATTGCTTTGTTGTGTCTCACCTGGTTAGGGCAAAGTGTCCTTTTGTAATTTCATACTCTGTAATGATGTTGGGAGATCAGGTGTGACCCAGTTTAGATATAACTATGCTAATTGGGGTAGAAAATGGCACCATTGCTGCACTTAAATGTCCCTGTTTACCATAATCATCCTTGATCTGTAGACTGGGAATGGAGCATGACGGTCAGGGCAACCGCTGCGGTGACGAAACAGCTATGGGAAGTGTCATGGCTCCTCTGGTGCAAGCAGCCTTCCACCGCTACCACTGGTCAATGTGCAGTGGCCAAGAGCTGAAGAGATATATTCAGTGAGTTCACACTTCTCTCTCCTCACACCTCTCTTTATTTTATCTAGAAACTGGAAGGCCTTGAACTTATGTGCATAATTTAAAAGGAAACATGTCTCTTCACAGGTATGCCTTATGATTAGGGTGCGATTTTTGTAAAAAGACAAATGAATTTCATAATCAGAGAATAGAACTATCTGTTCAAATTTCAAGCTTTCTATAGACATATTTCTTATCGTGACTAAGGCAAGTAGTCTAGAGTTTTGGTTTATTTTTGTGACACACTGCTGTTCAGGGAGATAGAGGTGGCACAATATTCTGTTTTTTTTTCTTCTTTATTTTTTAAAAAAAGCACACGATTGTACATAAATAAAAACAGACATTTACAGTTTACATTTACTTACTCTTATCTGTATGACCAAAAAGCGGCAAGTTCTTGCCGCTGTTATGAGTAAAAAAATAAATAAAAATAGAAGGGAATGAATGTGCGTGTTCAGCGATCACTAATGAAACATGGCAGACATTTATTTTATACATATCATATGGCTTTTGATGAAGGAGCATTGATTACTGTTGAGGGTATTGATTTTTTTTTTTCCACCGGGCATAAAAATAATTCAGCCGAATAATTGCACCCTGCCGATGCTAATATTTCTTATGAGTTATACTTGATTGTAAATATTGTCCTGTGCATTAATTGGAGCTGTGCTTTGTTTGGTTTGGCCTCAAGTTCAGTTGACTGTTTGTTTACCTGAATTAGAGTCACCAGTAGGTAATTTACTGTGAGAAAGAATTGTGAGATCAAAGTTCCTTCATTCATGGATCTCCTTAATATCCGACAGTTTACATACAACACGGCCAACAGAGATTAACTCTAAAACAACCTGTAATTATAATGATTGTGTTTGAACATTTGATGGTGCTCTGCACATGGTACAGTTTGAAGTTATTCCAACTGCTTATATAATGCTAAACACACACTTTTTTTTTCTTAAAGAGACATATTGATAGACAGACATCATCAATATATGGACAAAAACATATGAAACCAAACCAAAAGTTTAATTTTTGGGTGAACTATCCCTTTAAGAAAAGAACTTGACAGTTATGTGAATATGAATTGTCAATGAAAAAAAAAAAAGAAAAAAAAAAGTTATTAATGATATGATGTGATCCGAAACTTCTCTTTCTCTCATCTGAGACCTTTTACATTATGATCTGGGCTAAAGGTTGAGGGTTGTATTTCTACAATAAACCTCTCATTTCATTATTCATTTGAGACCTCACTGATTCACTCAGTCATTTCAGAAGACATCTAGTGCTACTTAAGAATTTTTGAATTTATATTCTTCTTAATGTGCAGGGTTAATCCTGTCATGACTAAGAGCTGATTGGATATAAATTACCCATGAATCTCGGCAACTTACTGCAGCCAATACAAATGAGATGTTAAGTAGCTCTCGGTGGAAAAGCATTTTCACCATTGTCTATTGAGTTTGAAGTGGTCAATATTCTCTGTAGTCTTCGAGCAGCGTAGAATTAATGATTTTTCCATTCACATCAAGCAAATTGACTTGTTCTCAGAAGAAAATCTGCGTTTACCAATGCAATAGATTTGTGTGATCATTGTGTTTTGCTCAACTCTCACATCACCTTTAACCTAAATAGTGTTCATGAAGAAATGCGGATAATTAAGAGCGGACAGATTTATTTCTGATAATAAAAGGCTTCACTTTTCCACAAAATCATCATACAGTTCATTATTGGCCTACTGTAAGTTTAAATTAGCCAGCGGTCAGTAGCAAACCCTTTTAAAAACCCTTTTGAAGTTCAATCTCTATGTGGGTTTTAAAGTTTAAAAGCGCTTTCTCTGCATGTCCTGACCTCACTCAGCACTTCATTATTTTTTAACATTTACTGTAAATTATCTAATGGAGATTTGGAAATGTGATTTAGTTCTTTCTCTGAGGGTCCAAAATGAGTTTCGCTCTAATGATAAGAATCATAAAAATCATCTAGAATGTATCTAGAGCCAATTTAGGCTTACTGTTTGCAACCAAACTTTAAATATGGCTTCCAAACTTTATAGGGCCATTCATTAAACACCTTTGCTGGTTTTACTCAAACAGATGTTGTAACTTTGTTTGTTTTTCCACAGTACATACGACTGCTTGCTGGACGACCCCTTCAAACATGACTGGCCGCAGCTCCCTGAACTTCCCGGCATCAATTACTCCATGGATGAACAGTGTCGCTTCGATTTTGGAGTTGGATACAAAATCTGTACTTCAGTGAGTATAGCTGGAGGCTGTATTATCCCTTGACAGATCTGATAAATGTCAGTCATTAAATCAAGCACCAAAAAGTTAATTATTTTCTTAATATTTTCTATTTTAACCAATGCTCATTAAGGTCTCTGTCCAAGGTCTAGATGGAAGTGCTTTAAAATACTCTATACCTAAAATATATAGACAGAGTGCTTTACATATCTAGGTGCTTTATGTCTATACCAAGTTTCTCTTGTAAATAAGACCATTTTAAGAAAGACATGGATAATAATTCAGTATTAGTTTCTGGCCTTTAAAATATACTATCTCTTAACCCCCCAAACCCTCTGCTCCAAATACTTTCAAGTTCAACATGAATATGTGCTGTAAAATCCCAATCACAGGGAAGAGAGCCTCACACTTTGTTTATGGCCTGAAATTGAGAACCAGCTGATGGCAAGATGTTTGGCATTCTGCCATCAAAGGCTGTAACACTAGTAAACAAGAATACCATGCTGTGATCCTTCCTCCCAGCCCTCTATCATGCCTAAACAATATGTGCCCAGCTATACACCATAGCCCGACAAAAACTCGCACCCTCATCATGAGATGTTCAATGACCCGCTAATCATGCTTTAAATAGTTATCTCTCTGTGGCCCATTGTCAGTGTCGATAGAAACAATTAGATGGTTATGGGATTGTAAACAAAATATTTGTCAGAAACTATTTGTTGCTTCTCCCATCTACAGTTTGACATTTTATTTAGCTCTCTGAGGAGTTTGTGGTACCAAAAGAGGTAATTTTGCAGCAAAGCTTTTCCATCTTTTACTCCATTAGCTGTTCTTAGATTCTGATTCAGAAGTGATGATTGACTGACACTGACTGGTGTCAGGCACCGTCTCCGCTGGCAAGAGCTGTTGCTGTCACTTGGGATGTGTTCCTGGAAATAGAAAGGCTTTCTGTTTCCGGTCGCTTTCTTACTCCCGGAACTTGGAGAAGTGCACTGCCCGTTGATGGACAGTGCTGTTTTAGCATAGACCCGCCCTGAATAAGCTGTACACAGTTCACCATTGCTGGCCATATAAAAACGGTAACCTTCGTCAGCTGTGTAGGCATGAATGGAGATTTATGAACACCTTAAGACCTAATTGCAGACATCCCTTTGTTGCAGACCCAACTGCTCCCCGAATACAGTCTGCCATTGTTTTAACACTAAAGCAGGTGTAGACAAGAATGTCTCCTAACCTAAGCAATTGGATTTATGCACAGCTGCACTACTTCCTGAACTTCAGCCAGGTCCTTGTTTCCTGTCTTCCAAACAAACCATGTCCAGCTATGTCTGACCTCAGTAGTCACAACAGCAATAACCAGGCACACCTGAATTAATCAAGTTTGTCCAATGATGGCGAACAGGAAACAAGGAGCTGGCAGAAGTTCAGGAAGTAGTGCAGCTGTGCAGAAAGCCAATTGAGGTGTTTTGTTGTTGGATATAATAATGAACATAGCAGTCTTTATTAACTCCTTACATCTGAGTCGCTGAATATGCTGTGGATTACTTTTGTGTTTGAAGGGAAATCAAACAACCAGACAGCTTTTTGAATGAGGGTCAGAACAAACCAGGCTTTGCTAAAAAGTTGTTACTCGAGGATGGATGGATCCTTACCGCTGTTTGTGATCCAGAGCGATAACTGGTCACAGTAATAATGAAAGGTACTACAGTTCCTCCAAATTGTTTTACGGATATAATGTTTTCCAATTTATTAAGCACCCCCTGAAAAGGTCTGTATTTTCTTGTAATTCACTGTGTATGTTGATGATTATGAAAGGTAGAGAGAGAGATTATGGATAATACTTTAATGCGCACTTCTTTATCCAGTTATCTGCCCTGTGGTTGCAGAGTTCCTACAGTAGCGTTTCTCCGCTGGTCTATCCCCCTCCACTCCAAAGGTGTACATGGTGGCCTTAGCTGCTTACCACGTCCCTTTAAGTGGTGTATCCTTGGGGAGACACCCTGTAGTACGTTTTCTTCACGGCACTGAGGGGCGTCTGACTAAGATACTAGGAGTATGGCTGCCTCAAAGGCTATGACTTAGATCTAAACTCCACTCCGGGGTCTAGGGTGCTTGCTTCTTTGTGTGACCCAATAAAACTCGACAAAATGGTATTAGAAGACATCCTGTAATAGCTTTTTGTTACATAACAGCTACCGTAGATGCAACACACATTTGAAAAAGCGAGTTTGAATGCAAAATACAATTTCACTGCTAGATGTGAGTAAATCTCACACAGAATACATTTTATTTCTTTAAAATATAGTGTAAAAATGTTACAAAAGCTTGCTATTTCAGATAAATTATATTATATTGAATATTATATTATATTGTTTTGTGTGCAATGCGAATTTTTTGTGTGACCTTAAAATTTGTTTAAAATTAAATTGTACATAAACAGGTCAAACAAAACAAACATGTTTATGTCTGAGAATCTTTTAAACCCATACAAACTGATACAGTACAAATATTTTGAGTGTCCCTTATTTTCCTGTAAAGAACCACAATTGTCCCGCATTTTACTTTTCTGAAGTTGGCAACCCTACTTACAGCCAACGTACATATGGTAAAGGAAAAATAAAAATATATAGGTTGGCACTTTTACATCGATCAGATGTTGCTTGGATGGAGACCTGAATGTGAGCTTTTGGTCGATTGTAAGAAAGGAGTGGGGTTTATGGACTAAATGTTTGATTGGATAATTATTTCTATTTACACACACCGAGGAATTCTTGTCAGTAAGGCCAATAATTTGGATTTTTTTTGAAAATAGACAGGGTAAATATCCATTTCATGTCAACTTTAATAATACAGGTACTATATGCTAATCAATATTGGCTTCGGCTATTGGTAGATTGAAGCACTGACCGGTGACAGAGCAGACAACTGATATCCTTTAGGCTAGCTGTTTGCCAAGGGACTTGTTAGAGACTTTACATGGAAGTTGATTTATGGCTTCAACATAGTGCCATTTCTCCCTTGGGCACATCCGTCCATTTATTAACCGTATGTCTGAACCTTCCCACTCTACACGGCATTTCAAATGAGCAGAACTGTTTTGGTAAAGCACAGAGCTTAGAGATGAACCTTGTATTTCAGCTGTCATCCATTAGTTTCCTCTCCCAGTCTTGTGTTACTGGTTGGCATTTAAATAATTTGTTTCCCAGGAAAAAAATATATATTGCAAATGTGTATTGTATTTTCAGTTATTCACATTGTAATGTGTATGCCACATTCTCCTGTTGTGTTTAATGAAAATCAAATGTAGTGAACAGAAGTCCAGCTGTGAATCAGCCTGGAGTGGACAACGATATCATTGCTAAAATTATCTTCACTTTAGCTGTGTTATTGGCACATAAATCACATAAATATTAATTTGTCATTATCAATACCCTTACATTTAGGGATAAATATCTGTTTCCATTTCGTTTAAAAAAAAATGGAACTTGGTTATATTGGTTTATTGTGACCAACAGTCATAAAAATCGCATTTTAATATTTTCATCTCATGTGCTTTAAAGCCACAAACAAATGTGTAAGAAACCACAGCTCATGTGAATTAAAGGGATAGTCCGATGCGAGCAACTACAAAGAAATCACTATCATGTCATTCCAAAACTTTCTTTCTTGGGAGATATTTTGAAGAATTTTTGGTATAGCAAACTGTTTTATTCCCATTGATTTCTATTGCATGTATAGAGTATGTACATAAAATTCAATGGAAATCGATTTTTTTTATTTTTATTTTTTATTTTATTTTTTTTACCAACATTATTGAAAATATCATATTTTTTGTTCTGTTGAAAAAAGAAACACATACAGGTTTGGGACTTGAGGATGAGTAAATTATGCAGACAGAATTTTTGGGAGGACTATCCCTTTAAGATAAATAAAATACTCAGAAGCTCAAATCCTTTTTGGTGTGCAATGACTATTTGTTCCTTCCGACTAAAAATATACACTTTTTTTTGTTGTTGACTCAGATTGTGGCAAGTGTGAAGTAAACAGAAAATGCAAGCCCCCCAAAAAAGTCTGCATTCTTTTTTTCTGTTCTAAGGTCCATTTCTTCGGTGTTTAGTAGAAAATCAATTCAGTCTCCCACTTGTCAAAAAAATTGAGCTAGAGCGTGTTCCTAAGAGAAAAAGGATTGTCAGGTCCAAACTCTTGTGGAATTGTGTAGCTTGGCCAAAAAAAGAAAAAAAAAAAAAAATCTTTTAAGTTTGTCTTGGCATTTAATTCTTGGGCACTTTTCTCTCTCTTCAGTTTCGCACATTTGATCCATGCAAGCAGCTTTGGTGCAGTCATCCAGATAACCCTTACTTCTGCAAGACCAAGAAAGGACCACCATTGGATGGGACTGAATGTGCACCCGGGAAGGTAATTTCATGTGTCCACATTTTACTGTGCATATTCTGTCCTGTGGTTCCCAATTTGATTCTGTCTCACACCTTCCCCTTGTAGTGGTGCTACAAAGGTCACTGCATGTGGAAGAATGCCAACCAAGTGAAGCAAGATGGAGCCTGGGGCGCCTGGAGCAAGTATGGCTCCTGCTCTCGCTCCTGCGGGACAGGGGTCCGATTCAGAACCCGCCAGTGCAACAACCCTATGTATGTTATCTACTGAACGCACAGTCAGGATTGCTAATGAAGCTTACTGGCACAGCAGTGTACTCTTCATAAACAGATTCAGTTATCATATGGATGGCTGCAGTTTCTTAAAAATGAAAAGAACTATCTGTCTAGCAATAATGCATTCAGACAGCAGGGGTGAACATGATTGGCACTATCCAATGATAGGAAATGTCAATCACAAACTTTGCATTCTCCAGTTAGGTTAGTTTGTTCTTTATCTCTTTATTATTTCAAAACCTGTGTTTGAAGTCAGATAATGCATGAAATTATCTGATTACATGTTTGTATCTCTAAATCTATTTTTGATAAACATCTGCGCAGGGTGTTTTTAATCAGACAGGGCTTCCATCTATGCTGTCTAAATGGATTTTTCTTTTTGAAGTAGGGGAATTTTTTATTTATTTATTGATTTAAGTAGGAGGATGCTTCTTAATTAGCATGCATGCTTTGAGAATGAAAGAAGCAAGAGAACTAGAAATTTATTTATTTATTTATTTATTTTATTTTTTATGCCAGCACATCAGTCTGCTAGTTGTGTAGAGTGTTTGTTTTAAGGACCTGTTAAACACCATTTGAGTTGAACAGATGTTCACACTTATAGAAAATATGCATGAATAAAATCTAAAGTGAGGCTTGTGATGCTGTCAAAATTCAATCTATCTTTTGCATCAGTTGCCATTCGATCCAAACATTGCTTAGCTTTTCTGAATGTGGATCTATATATTTTATTTGATGAAAGAAGGGATAGATGTGTTTCTACTGTCTCTTCACTTCGTTGATGTGATTCATTTAAACTTTGTCTAGATTAACTTTGGTTACTGACTGCTTTCTAAAACACACACTTGTAAATTTAAAGTACTTTGTTGATCTTTATTTAATTATTATCTTTTCTCTGTTAGTCCATCTCATGGCGGTCAGGAGTGTCCAGGGGTGAACTATGAGTACCAGCTCTGTAACATTGATGATTGCCCCAAACACTTTGAGGACTTCAGAGCACAGCAATGTCAACAACGCAACTCTCACTTTGAATACCAGAACACTAAACACCACTGGCTTCCCTACGAACACCCAGACGGTGAGTTTTTCAGATTTTAAAGCAGTGTAATTTGGGAAAATATATTTATATAATAGTGCCGTGTCCTAGAGTTTGATTGGCCGAGTGGCATTCCAAGAGCACGGAAAAAGTTCCTGCCAACTTTTTCAGCAGCCTTGTTCTATATTTTTTTCCCATAGAATTTTTTTTTTTTTAATGTCTGCGTTAAAGCGATATTAGCCATAAACCAAACCAATCAGTACAAGATGACCAACAAATTTATCCATTTGCACTTTCCTTAGTGCGTGTGGCTCAAGAAGCCGTTTAGAGTGCTCTCACACATGAGGTGACAAAGTATAGTTTTAAAGGCTTTTGTCAAACATTGCACTTTCTGCTGTTGCTTCATGTTGTGTCCATTGCCATTTATCTATTTAAGCCACAAAATGAAAGGACCACATTGTTCAAAACTAAAGCCTGTGACATGTCAGTGACAGCCATTCCAGTTTAAAATACCTTGCTTGCCTCTCAATCGTCCAATTTCAAATTGTTTTTCACAGGATGATTTTTGAGTTACCTAATGATGATTACTGAAATTTGTGATATGAAAAAAAGGCAATAAATAAAGAGTGCCAGTCGTCCCGCTAAAAGGACGTGGCAGTTAATTAAACTGTAAATCATAGCGATCAGCCAACAGAAAAACGATAAAAGAAATAAAAACTGACTTGGAAAGGGCTTGATCCCAGCTTTATTAGGGTTTCAAAACCTCTAATATGTGAAATTTCACCATGTGGTGGGTTTTCCCAGATTGCATCACAAATGCCTCTTGCGCCTGACGCAAGTTTAAAAGGGATTGGTCTGAAATAGCTCTGTTGTTCATAGGTGTGGTATGGGCGTAACATGAAATAAACCAGTGGTAAATCAGAGCGTCATCCAACATAGCCTACTCTTTAAGAGCAGGTGCGCATGTCACATGGAGGATTGTTATTATTATGGCGAATTTAGTAGGAGCGGTTCACAGCCGAGGAGACTGATGTTCTTGTCAGGGCAGTGAAAGACAGAGTATGGGGATGGGAGAAACCCACCCAAATTAGTGTCGGTTAAACAGGCGTGGTGGAATTGTTTTCTGGAACTGCAAAATAGCACTAGGGCATGTTTGTGCTGAAACACGCCTCCTTTTTGCACCAACCCACCCAGGGAGCGCAAGTTTTGATTTAATTTAATGACCACACAGCCAGGCTGGTGGAATTTGTTTTCAGTACAGCTCATTTCTTGGGTGCAGGTTCCAGAGTTTTCTCCTAGTTTAGCAATGTGCGTCTGTGGAGGGAAAAGCCCGCTTTGCGCGGGTGCAAAATAGGAATGATACATGCCTCGGTGTAAAGTGTATTTGCGCCGCGTGCAAGATAGGGCCCTAAATCTTTTCATTCGTTATGACATTATGAAATTAGATTGGAGTAAAAACATGTAAAGAAACTGTACATCTGTACATCTGCACCAATACTCCAGAGGGTTAAAAGCAGATTTCTTTGCATGTATTATAATAGAAACTGCATTTAGGGGATTTGGCCCGTTCGCCATCTATGCTTACCTTTTTTTCAGGAATGCTTTTTGTTCAAAAATATTTTTAGGGACATAGTAAAAAAAATTAGGGACAGGTGAGGTAAGTTTTTTAAGACTGCATTGTTGCTGTATCACAATACGGCATACATATTTTATTTTTATTTTATTTATTTAACCTTTATTTAACCAGGTAAGCACGTAGAGAACACTTTCTCAGTTGAAATGGCGACCTGGCCAAGATAAAGTGAGGGTGCATGACATACAAATAGTTTCACATAAATTATACAAATTACACTTTAAATACACAAGAAATAAAAATTTTCTGGACAATAGAATAGACAAAGTCAGTACTTAAACAATTAATGGAGCACAATCCATTAATTCTTTAATAAAAATAAAAAATTGTTTAATAAACTTTAATCCATTAAAGTTTAATAAAAACGTATGCAATATTACACAAGCAGGAGTGCATTACAGCCCTGTATAAGCATGGTTGCAATTGTAAATGTGGTTGTACATGTTCCTAATTCTGCAAACCCTCTCTGGAGTTTAACAAAAATTATAGCACAAGGGTTAAAGCTGTGATTTAAGGCTTATCTGTTTGTCATTGGCAACCTGTTTGTTTCTTAAAGCTCATCTGGATATTGGAAACATGCTTGTTTCTTTATGCTTATCTGATTAATATTGCCAACATGCTGTGTATAAGTCAGCAGCATGCTTATCTAGTGTATCAGTAACATGCTTGTTGCTTAAATGCACAATAAGTACGTTTCACCGCAGAGGTCTCTCATTCAAACAATACTGTAACAATGTTGTTACTTGATAATCCCATGAAGGAGTGTGGAATAATGGGGATCGTCATTAGAGGTGGGAATCATTAGGCACCTTACGATTAGACTACGATTCAGAGGGCTGTGATGCAAAAACAATTATCCATATGTCCCAACATTGCAAAAAAATAAATATGTGCATGTACTAGCAGCATACTTGTAGTAAATTAATACAAACCTCACCATATTCTGAATCTCTAAAATTTAAAGGGGTGGTAAACTATGATTTCACTTTTCTAACTTTAGTTAGTGTGTAATGTTGCTGTTTCAGCATAAACAAAATTATCAAAGTTACAATAACTTATATAATTTGTACGTAATATATGAGTGATTTATAGATTACGACAGAATATGCTAATTGAAGATGGTTAACTCCGCATCAGCAACATAAATTCATCAACTAATCATTCTGGAATCCTGTTGAGGAGACTTCTTCTTGAGTCTCTCCATCTTTGACTGACTCCATTTTAACATTAAAGGGAGAACAGTTTCTGTTATTTAGTGTGTCTGCGTGAGGAAATCGCAGCTGCGAACACACACGAGTTTAAAACTTCACACACACACACACACACACACACACACACACACACTCTGGGGACATCAGAGATTTATTTTACATCTTGTGAAAATGGCATTTTACCACCCCTTTAATAACAGGCTTCTAACCAACATCCTCCTGTTATGAGCAATATAATCCTTCAAAACAAAAAACAAACAAAACAAAACCAAAACGAAAAACAAATAAACATTTTGCTGTAGCAAAAATCACAAAACAGCTTTTGTTCAAAAGCTTTTGTTTCTGTATACAACAATCAAAAAAAAAATGTACATTAACATCTCCAGAGAACACAGTCAAAATATAACTGTGACTGTGGAGGGCAGTAAAATAAACCTACGTATAACAGATCCGTTTACAGCATCTAAAAATCGATTTTTTTTTTTACCCCCAGCCCTAGTCGTCATCTACACAGCTGATGAGAACAGAAATTTTGTTCTTGAATAAGGAAGCACATTGTTTTTCTTGGATTCCTCAGGAGTAAAATCGAAAACAGGCAAAACAATGAAATGCACTTCATTGGTTAAATGGTGGTTCAGTTGTCACCGACATTACTTATTTTGTATTTTGACATATTTTCAATTAAAGAGGATATTAGAAGAGGAAATCTCCATCTCTCACCTCTAGTTCACAGCAAGGAAACAGTTAAGGATGTTTTTCTCAAGTAATCATCTGACGCGTTAGAAAAGGAACACCATTCCAGAAGGGAAGTTTTACTCAAACTTCACATTTTGAGTAAAGATTATTAAAAGACAACGTGTACATATCAAGGTTTACCATAAGACTAGCTATTCGCGCTACAGACAGGGTCAAATTGGACTTCATGTTGACCTCAAGGTTTTTCAGGTATTATCAATATGCCATTTGCCTAATATTTCTGATGGTTATTATTGGTAACATGTTTGTGGCTTAACAGCTCAGACAGACCAAGCTAGTGGCAGAACTAGTGGCAACAAGCAACCATTGTATGTTTACATTGACTTCCATTGAATCTAGGTCAAGTTGCACTCGAACACAGTGTAAGAAGAAGCATGCACATCTGCACCTGCATGAAAGGGGGAAAAAAACTGTCAACATCAGCATGTGGTAGTAATATTAATCACTCAAAAGAAAACTGGAGCTTGGACTGCAAATTTACAAACAATATCTGAGGAGTGCTTGATCGATGTTGATTACTTAATCTTCACTTTCTTCATTCCAGACAGCATGCAATTTATGGAAATATTGCATTGAAATGCTTAGAAGATCCCTTCTGTGTATTCCTTCTTTCTTATTCACTTGCTTTTTTATTCTCGTGCACTGGGTTGCTAAGCTGAACACTCAATAGCTCTTCAACATGCTCAATTGGCTAAAACAGCTTTCTGGTAAAATTGGCAACGTGCTTGTTGCTTATGGGTATAAGTGTATTGAAAAAACAACAACATTTGTTTAAATGTTCTGAGAAATGGCACATGTTTGTTGCTCAGGGCTTTCCAGTTGGATAAAGGGATAGTTCGCCCAAAAATGAAAATGATGTCATTAATTAACGTCACCCTCATGTCATTCCAAACCCGTAAGACACGAATTAAGATCTTTTTTGATAAAATCTGAAAACTTTCATTGCAACTTTCAAGGCCCAGAAAGGTAGTAAAGACATTATTAAAATAGTCCATGTGACTAGAGTGGTAACCTTAATATTATGAAGCAATGAGAAAACATTTTGTGTGCAAAAACAAAACAAAAATAATGACTTTATTCAACAATTTCTTCTCGTCTTTGTCAGACTCAGTGCTGCACGTTGTCGTGGTGCTCACTTGAACAGTGCCAGCCAATGGTGAGCTGGCGTTCTGCCGTATTACCCAGAAGCGCTGCACTGTGTTTACTACATCAACAGTGTAGGCGTTGGCGATGCTTGCAGATACTCTCCTGTAAAGGGCATGCTGCCCCAGTCTCCGAGGGACATTCTGATCTTTACTGAAATGTCCTATATGCATCTGTCTTACTTTTCCAGTATAAGAGTCTTACTTCCAGTACCAGTATGGTATTTCTCGACTACTCTTCAGAACAAACAACTGAGTTGTATCTTGCTTTGCATGAGCTTCTTCAGTCACTCGGTACAACTTATTCTTTAAAATGGCAGAATAAGGATAAGAGAGTGGTCACATTGGTTGGAGAAGCTGTCTGTCGAATGACTGGACCTGTTCAAATGCATTTTTAAACGACTCATCCTGGGACTGTTCCAGGGGAAAATCATTGCGCTCTGTAAGAATTAGCCTTTCAATAGTGCTCCATTCCTCTGGTTCTGGTCCCAGCGGTCCCAGTTCAGTTTCCCTAGCTGCGTGACCGCAACAACCTTACTGGAACCATACAGCTGTTATCCAATGCCTCAGGTTGAATTAAGCTTTGATGCATGGAGGTTTGGTTACATTCTAAATCCACTAAAGCTTGATAAGTACCCCCCTTAATACAACCCAGCCTAATCGAGGGCAGCCTGCGTTGTGGCCACCTTCATCAAATGACACCTGACGATAAAATACCAGGGGGCCCACAATGCTAACGAATGGCCCAGACTTCCCCACTGCCCTAGTGGTAGGAAGTGGGTCAATGTATTGATGTGGAGAGAGCGGAGGAATGGGCCTGGACATAGGGGGATGTCAATCATCTTTGACAATAGTGGTCCTAACAGAATTGTCTACATAACCATGTTAATATTCAGACAGTATATGCCTATTCATTTCATTGCATTCCATTACTATGTGTTGAATTCTGTCATCATTTACTCGCCCTCATGTTGTTCCAAACCTGTATAATGTGACATGATGACCTGAGGGGGAGTAAATAATTAAATTTCAATTTTGTGGTAAACTATCCATTTAAAACGTAAACTTAAGTGCTCTTTTTCTGTTGACTTGGATGGATCCAAGTTAGCCAGTTGCACTGTGAAACCTAATTTGCATATGCTAAATGTTTTATGGAGTTATTCTTATGTTATTTTAAGTTCAAGAGTTCACTAGGTACTGTGCTATTTTTTCACATTAGCACAAGTCGTTTTTAATGCACTTGAATAATTAATCGGCTCAAAGCTTGTGTAGATTAAGACCTGTAAGAACACATTTTCATTGTCCTTGAATATTACATTAGACTATCTTTTTGCATGATTACAAACCAGTTTTACAGGTTGAATATTCTCATAACTTAATTTTATTTTAATAGACCTAATAGCAGACTACAATGTATGTAATGTAATTTGTGGTCTTTCTAATTAAATATTGTTTTTTCTATATTGTCAGCCAACAAAAGGTGTCACCTTTATTGCCAGTCGAAAGAAACAGGTGACGTGGCTTACATGAAGCAGCTGATGCATGATGGGACAAAGTGCTCTTACAAAGACCCGTACAGCATCTGTGTGCGTGGAGAGTGTGTGGTAAGTGTTTGTACATTAACTTATTTGATGGTTGCATACTTACTTTTGCAGATATTAGAACCTCAACAATCATCTAATTCAAACAGAAGTGAATTTCTTCGAAAGATTTCATGTCATGAACTTTGCAAACTTTTGATAATACATCCACTAGATTATCTTCTGAGTTTCTTATAATAAACCAGCCTGGTATTGATTGATTGATTGATTACTAATAAAATCCTGTGCACTCTGACTCACGGAGGTTGTGTAGCAGCTAACCAAGAATGAACCAGTACTGCCATTATCGCCAATACTGGTATATTGTCACACTCTCAATTAACATAATGTCGACATTTCATGCTTTGAATATCATGATTATCGTCAATACTGGTATATTGCAACACCCTTATCTATGCTTTAATCATCGTTTTGAATCCGATCTAGTTGTAGTTGTAACAGGAGATCCACTGGAGGCAAGTTGTAGAACCCAAGTCCAGTTTATTAATAAGCAAGATCAAACATAAAACAAAGGCATCGCGTGGTATGAAACCAAAAACAAAAGCATGGACATGGTGCTCACGAACAGTAGTTACACAGAGGAAACAATACTTGACTAGGACACATGGCAAACATGAGGGCTTAAATACACACAAGTCTAATGACGGAGCAAGACACACCTGTGCACAATGAACCAATGACAACATGACAACACAGAACACATGGCAGGAGGGACAGGGCATCACATGGCAAGACATGAAACATGATTGACATGAAACATGATCCAAAAATCTAAAATAACCTGTGACAGCAGTCTTTGACAAAAATTCGATTTTCTCAGAATTTTACTTGAAGGTGCTGTATGCAATTTTTTTCACTGTACTAAATCATAAAAATACCATAATATGTTTGTATATATTGAGGAAACATGCTAAGTTCACATTCTAGGTTTTTTGAAAAACGCTTCTACAGCCAATTTTCATTGTCGTTTGCACTCGTTCCTGATGTGTGTGCTCAAACCGGCAACCCGTGTGAGCGCCGTCTAGGGCTGCACGATTAATCAAATTTTAATCACGATCACAAAAAATAGTTTTGGCTTCCCACAATCAAATTCACGTGATCAAGCAATATTTAAAATGCGTCATTCCAGGGGTGTAGTCTAGTTTTTTGTAGAGATACTGTGATGTACCAGCACACATCACACATGTGATGTACTTATTGTTCTCATTTTGTATTGTAAATCACTTTTGCTGCTATTGAGGTGGGATGCGGGTAGAGTTAGGGACAGGTGTGGTGGTATGGGTCGGTTTAAGGGTAGGTTAAAGTGTAAGGGATGGTCAGCTGTGTAATTACAGATGTAATTACATAAATTAATTACAGCTGTAATTACATGCTGGTATTTTTAAAATATAAGTACAATGTAAAAACATGTATGTACACAATAAGTCCTCTGTATCAAATTATTCATTTCAATGTAAGTACATGGTACTTAAAGCCACTTAATATAAAGCGGGACCTTTTTTTGCAAATTATTGCACACTTCTGAAAAGGTAAAATGAGTCTTCACATTTGATTCTACGGAAGCCCTCAACCGCAACGTAAAAAAAAAAAATCTTTAAAAAAAAAAAAATCTAGCATTTCGAGATTAAAGTCGAAACATTTCAAGATTAAAGTCGAAAAACATTTTGAGAGTACGATAATACAGTCTTCCGTAGAAGTTGCTTGCCATTGTTTTACGTTGTGTGTGCGTGTTTTTTTGTGTGTGTGTTTTGTTTCAACAAATTTTACATTTTCAGGAAATTTAACATCTACCAGCATTAGGCTTCCATTATAGGACGTTATAAAATATACTGTGCCGTAATAGACTTTAGCCTATAGGAAAACCAACCCAGAAAATACTTTTTAGACTGGATGGAGATATCCAGTGAATGAATGAGATGAATGAATGAATGAATGAACATTTTCATATGTCTACTAGAGAAAGCGCTTAACAATCATTTTAGAGAATCTCTCCTCAACCATTAGTGGTTATTAAATCTGAGGAAATCAAGGGATCCATCCAAATGATTGGATACAGAATGATGCACTTAAAATGTATCCAGAACGTTTTTGTGTTCACGAGCCAGATAGTGTTGCCTAGACGAGCACGAAAACACCTCAAAAACACTGTCACATAAAGTTTGGACCAGATTGTGATACCTACTCCGGTGGATCTGTGCACTTGTCTATATGCAACACCATGGTAATTCTTGTTTGCAGATTAGCACCTGTATAGAATTTTGTTGAAAGCCCAAATAAAAGTAAAAAAAAATACTATTTTTTGTTGATCCATGGCAATTCTGGCTTCTAAATACTGCATTTCTTTGCACACACACATGCACGCTCTGGGCCAGTGTACGTGCACTGTTATGAATGCACACACTTCTATGGAAGACTGTATTATTGTAATGTTTTGAATTTTTTTCTCTAAATGTTTTGACGTTAATCTCAAATGTTTCGACTGTTTTTTTCTTTTACAGATTTTTTTTTTTTTTATTTACATTGCAGTTTAGGGCATCAGTATTAATCTGTCACTGCGCATACCTGTTTTGTTTTTTGTTTTTTTGTTTTTGTTTTTGCTGTGAATTTGTGAGTTGGCTCTGTGATATGTAATGGATCAAGGTCAGCTCACAGTGCAGTGTGTATAGGATGAGGGCTACTTCACAATGAATGTTGTTTGAAGAATGAATCTCTCCAGATGGGGTTTATAGAAGTAAATTGATTTTTGTAGATGGAGAATGAATAGTGATTAGCTTTTGGGAGCAAGTGATAGATAGTCTGTCAGCTAGTGTACAGAGGCTTTAGGATTTATTTGCAGATATCTAGCACCTTTTTAAAAGTTTTGTTCAACAGACGGCTGTAGTGTTTCATATTTATCAATGTCACTTGTACTTTCAAAAGAAAAAAAACAAAACGATTTGGTCCTCTTAGAGCTAAGTTCACAAAGTTAAGTTCACAAATTTTAAAATGAACTAGTTCATAGATATGTTGATGAATATGTATAACCAAACAGTTGATGGACTCCATTAATTTCCATAGTAGAGGTCATAGGGGTCTATCAACTGTCTGGTTACCGACATTCTTAAAAATATCTTCCTTTGTGTTTAGCAGAAAACCATAATTCAGATTTGAAACAACTTGAGGTTGAGTAAATGATGATAGAATTTTCATTTTGAAGTGAACTATCACTTTAAAAGCAAGGAAATGTCACAGAACAGAATCTTGCTTAAAAAAAGTGCATAGAGCAGCTAATTTGATTTGTCATTTGTTGATTTTCAAATGCAAAACCAGTTGAAAGGTTTTCAGTGCGTTTACCAGTTCTTTTGGAACATTTTCATCTCATTTGATCAAAACCGTGATGATATTGATAATTTTTGTTATGAAATTTTCATGCTGTTTTATCTCTACTTCAAAATTTAATCCCTTTCACACTTACATTGTGTGCCTCATTAACCAAGCTATTTTTGTAAAGTTTATTATTATTATTTTTGTTGTTTATTTCCCTGATGTTTGCATTCACTTAAAACAAAACCAACTGTTTATGTGAACCTTGTGTTAATTCAACAAGACGATAAAGAGAACTGGCAAAGCAATCAGCTGCGTCTCTCTTACACAGTTTGGAAGCGGTGAAAATGACAATGCGTGTACGTTATCAATTAGTAATTTGTATAGATCTGCCAGAAGAAACAGCCATGATGAACAGCCTATTTGTATATGGAGGCAACTGATGACCAAACATTGGAATTCACAAATAGAAAAATCAAGTGGCCCGGACTGTCATCAATGGACATTTTTAGCGAACCGTACTAGAAGCAAAACATACTCAGAGGTCTAAGATCATTTTGAGTGTTCACATACGAGCCAAAAAATCATGTGAATCACACTCAGACTTCTGAAAAGGACCAAGTATTATACAGAGTTATACTGTATACAGAGCTACCGCAAGAATGGGAGTTCAAACAAAATGGTCTAATGATGGCCTCATGCTTGATTCTCTGCCGCATTAGGTCTATAGTTTCATGATATTAGATGTAGATATATCCAAAGATGAAAGCTTGAAAGTGTTTCTTGCTTGAAAGCACATCCTGCCTTTTTTCTTAATGTGTCTTGCATACCCCCCTATATCTCTCTCCCTCTCCTTCAGAAAGTGGGCTGTGACAGGGAAATTGGCTCCAACAAGGTGGAGGATAAGTGTGGCGTGTGTGGGGGTGATAACTCCCACTGCCGAACTGTGAAAGGAACCTTCACCCGTGTACCCAAGAAAGCTGGTAAGATACTTCCCTCTTCCCTTGGTCATTGATTTACGGTATTTAACTTAAATCGGGCAGTCCTTTATTCTGGACTTCAGCCCTGTCATTACGTTCATATTTCCAGTCCTCTAGTTTAAGGACACTTCAGGAGTTCATTTTTAAGTTTTCCTCTGTCTGCTGTAGTTCATTCATTGAATTTTGAAAGTGCAGTATAAGACAAAATACTTTTTTCACACTGGGTTGTCTCATTTGCATGTGGCTCTCACAACCCCTACTTGACCCCATTTTTTTATTTAGGTTGTCACATTTCACAGTGTCACCACCTGGAATTCTTATTTTGTATTTTTCCTCTTGACACTTTTCCTCTGACACCATAGAATGAACAAGCTGTTTGAGAAATTTATTTGAACGCATTTACAAGTAAAGGGCATTTGTACTTCCCTTCAGTGTTCGGGAGTATTTAACTATAAGTAGCGACGCTAGTAACATAACTACATTTTTCAGTAGCATAGCAGTAGCTCAGTTGCTTTTTAAACAGTGTAGCTTTTCCAGTAGCTAACTACTTTTTGCAGCAAGTAGCGGTGTAGCGTGAGAAAGCTACACTGCGTTTGTTTAGCCTGTGCGAATCACGCATCTGCCCAAGATGTGTGAACTCCTTCCTTCTGCAGAGTTCGGGTGTATCGCTTGTCAACAAATTGGCACGTGTATTCCCTAGTGTAACCATGACAAATTTTACGACAATAGTTGAAGACAATACGGTTTCCCAAGTGTAGGGGGACCCCAAGAGCAATATTTCAAAAATGACAATGTTGGGCTACACATTATTTCGATAGTCACTTTAGACATTCTACTAACTATAAGTAACTTCTATAAGTAACTTTTCAACTACATTTCAACTAACTGTCATTAGAGTATTAGTAGGCTGTAGTAGACTGTCAGTAGACTGTTAGGTTAGGGTTAGGTATTAGGGTTCAGGTTAGGAGAACAAGTTGACTTTTAGTTGCTAAGTTACTTATAGTCAGTAGAATATCTGTTGGGGGACCAACAAAATAAAGTATTAGCAAATATTAAGCAGACAGTCTACTAATACTCTAATGATAGTTAGTTGACATGTAGTGGCAAAGTTACTTATAGTTAGTTGAATGTCTAAAGTGGACTATCAAAATAAATGCTGCTTTAACTTACGAGTAGCTTGTAGCTTGTCAAACTACAGTTTCAGAGTAGCTTCCCCAACACTGCTTCCCTTGTTCTTTGCTCATATAAAAAATGGCCATGCTCAAATGTCCATTAGACCCACTCAATGTACGTGCAGCAGGTTGCCGGGGCAGCAGTCTAAGCAGAAATGCCCAGACTTCCCTCTCCCTAGACACTTCCTCCAGTTCTTCTGGGGGGACACCGAGGCATTCCCAGGCCAGCCGGGGGACATAGTCTCTCCAGCGTGTCCTAGGTCTTCTCTGGGGCCTCCACCCAGTGGGACGTGCCTGGAACACCTCCCCGGGGAGGCGTGATCCATCTCGATGTGGAGGAACAGCGGCTCTACTCTGAGCTCCTCCCGAGTGACCGAGCTTCTCACCCTATCTCTAAGGGATCGCCCAGCCACCCTGCAGAGAAAGCTCATTTCGGCCGCCTGTATCTGGTATCTTGTCCTTTCGGTCATTTCAAATACTTAAGATCCTGGTCGGACTACTGTTTTCAGTGATATGTCATCTAAAAAGTGAAGTTGCAGTCCTAAACTGTCATGTTGTGTTTTGGTCTGATGGTCCACCCTCCACCGATCTACAGTACCAATCACGAAGTCAGTAGTGTTCCAGCATTCGGGTTGCCAGCTCTGCTCTAGTTACCACAGCTGCAGATACAAACGTGTGGGATAAAAAAAAAAAAAAAAATTGGATCCTGCAGCCTATTTGGCAACCTCGAGTCAGGGGGGAGGGGATACACCACTCTACAGTAATTTGAAAGTGCTTGCAGTACCAGTTTTGGCCACAATCTTACGTACAGCTCCTTTAATGTTTGACTGTTTACGTGTCTACACTTACGCTGTCGTTTGGTTGTGTTTTTCCCTGAGTCCTGTGTTCATGTCCTAGTTTGTTCAAGTTTAGAATCTAATAAAGTGTGCTGCAACCGGTTCTCGATTCAACCAACACACACCTCAACTTGACAATAGTCCTATATGGACAGAAGTGGCTGTTTATAATAGACCCACATAAGTGAGCAGCGAAATCTAGACAAGCATTCTCTTAACTGACACTGATAGTAAAATAGGTAGTATTTGCATTTTTTTATTTATTTGCGATTTGGCTCTATTTATTAATTTTATCATTTGATTTCTTTGTTGGATACTATCCATATTGAAATGAAAAGAAAGAATGCTGAAGATCGGTGTGCAGGTAGTTAAAAAATAAACACACAAGGAGAAGTGTTAGGAAAATACAACGTCAGCAATCATAGACATTTGCATTTGGACAGGATTAGCATTAGGTAATTTTTTTCAGAACTTTTTACAAAAGATAGTGTCACGGTGTGGGTTTTGTATTGTTCCTCGTTCTTGTTTGTCACGTGATTCCCTGTTTGGCATGTGATCCTGCCATGGGTCTTGTCATTTGTTAATTGTTTCCAGTGTCCACAGGGGTTCCTTGTCTTGGTAATTAGTCTGCCCTGATGTCTCGGATGTACCACGCCCCGTTGTTATCTTGTTTAGCTTGTCTGCTTGAGTATTTTTACCTCTGTGTTTCAGTTGTGGTTTGTTGGTCGTTGTTGCTTGTAGCTTTCTGTATGTTCCTGTCCTGAGTTCCTTGTTCGTTTGATCTGTTTACTTTATTAAATTAGTGTTTGCATTTGCAATCTCTCTCTGCTTCATCAAAAAAAAAAAAAAAAAAAAAAAAAAAAAAAATATAATATATATATATATATATATATATATATGGGAAATTTGTTGGAAAATGTCTTTTGGTCCTAATTTATCCAATACAGACTCAGACTCAATTTATCCCTGTTATTAAAGGTGCATTGCACAACATTTCATGTTAAGAATTTTCTAACCCATACATGTTTAAACAATTGCCTGATGGGCTGAATGAGCCCTTCTCTGATCACTGCAATTGCTTCTATAATTCTGTACAGTAAATGTTCTGTTCTGTAAAGTCTGCTTTTCACCAAAATTGCACCAGATAATCTCCAGGCAGTGCTGACAAAAAGTTATGGAATTCAAGTCGATTCGCTTAACCATTTTCAAATACCGCACAAATTAATTTTACGTAGCGCTTGCAAAAACAGACATTAGGCTGTATCTCCACAACGCTTTATCGTATTCAGACCAAACTTGGTCCATATCATCACACAAGCATGACCCAAGGCTACAGTCTGTGTTTCTGCGCAGCGCCACCTACTGGTCCGTGGATATGAAAAATTGAAACTATTTTTGCTCAAAACTTCTTAACAGTTTGTGCAAAAATCATAAAAGTGGTCTTGTTAGATTCAAGGCATCATGCCGAGTCGACTGATGTTCTATTTTCCCAGATCAGCCATTTTGTCTGTCGGCCATTTTGAATTATGTTCTAAAATGCTGTATTTTTTGAACGCATGAACGAATTGTTACGAAACTGGGTATGGGTCATCAGTATGATGCCCTTGAAGGAGCATGAGAAGTTTCAAAACAGCGCCACCAAGTGGTACAATTAAATTTTCAAATGCTTATAATTCTGACTGTGGTTGACTTATTTTAACAGGAGTCATCTTGCTGGCTTTCGATATCTTCGAAACCGTTTAGAAACAGTTTAGAAACATAGGTTGCTAGTTTTTCACTAATGCCCAAATGCCAAAATATTGATAGTTAGGGGTAGAAAAATTCAATCAAAGTCACGTGTCAGTCATTTTGTTTTTGTGTTTTTTTTTTTTTTCATATAAATGTCTATAACTCCGAAGCGAATTGAGATATTTTCACCAAATTTGGCACATACATGCATGGGCTCATTCTGAGGACATGGAAAAAAATGGTGGGATTTTGCCTCTTGGTGGCGCTATAATACAACATAACATGCTATACTTAACGAATGCATTGGTGTAACATTACGAAACTTAGTTTGTGGCATCAGCACCATCCCCTGTAGGTACTCTAAAGATTTTAAGACAGCGCCACCTTTTGGTCGAAGTTATAAAAACATTTAGAATAATAATCTTAATTTTTGAATAAATCTGCGTATTTTAATGCCACTGATCTGAAGGTTTTTTCATCGTCACCAAACTCTGACCACATCACATAGATTTTGTAACCACACCACCATCTTTTGGTCGAAAGTGATAATCCATTTAATCACATTTTTAGTTAATGTATGTGATTTTTTCAGCCATTTTGCATAAATTCATCTTTAAATGTCTTCAATTGTTCCTTGCTGCAGTTGTTCTGACACATCTTGGCATGTCTTGTCGTCTTCTTTGTGCTTGGCCCTGGTATTGCTGCTTGCAGCTATATTTATCCGTATAATTGTAAAGACCTGATTGTTCAAACCACATTGAAGACGAAAAACGCAGAAAATCAAACCCGATCTGGACGGAAGTTTCAGAGGCAGTGTGCAAGTGTGATTGACATAAAGTGAGGTCTTATTTATTTTATTAATGTGCAAACATTTCGGACTCAGTGTGCAAGGGCCTTCAACATTGATCTGTCTCTTCTGACCACTGGTGATCATATTGTCAGGTGGATGTTACTACCAGGTAATGTTCTCTCAGTGCTACATGTTCTCAGTGTGTGCTGTCTTTGCATTATGTTTCATAGGTATGCATATACAGTACACTAGCTAATTTGAAAACAGTGTTCAGGACTTTGCTACATGCAGTAATTTAGAGCTGTGGCTTCTCTGAATAAAAATGGCATGATAATTGCTTAATTTAAAATAATTTTAGCCTAAATATGCAAATCACATTCTTAGGATGAGTATAAATCTTCGGAAATGGGTATTGGCACACGCCATGTTGGTCTGACACAATGTTTCATTGCAGAAATTCCGGGAGCCTAATTTGACTAATTACATAGAGACATAAAATCGTAACAGATCCTTTTAAGCTTCATTCTGGCATTTGGGCTAAATGTCTATACAATGACGATAAAACTCTCCAGCTAATGCATAATGAAGCAGAGTCCTTGCCCAGATGGCAGGACAAAATAATGTCTCTAAGAAAATGGATTCATGTATGTTCATGTTGCCTTTGTTGCATCTGAAAGACGTGGCATGTGGCATTGAGAAAATGTTTCTGGCATGATTTCTTTCAGATGTGCCTTCCTTGACTTTAATTAACATGGTGTCACAAATGCTGTATTTACTTGTGACAATGAATTCATTTTTTATTCTCGTTCTATCCAGAATTTGCATGATGTTTTCATAAAATATGCATCATACGGGTGATTGTACACAATTTGTGACACTTTATATCACAAATTCCTATATTGTACTTATATTATCATTACTAATTTTAACACATTGTCTGCATGTACTAAATCAGAATTTTGGACCTTTCTCCATCTAACTCCATCTTGTTTTAATTTCAATTGATTACTTTTTTTTAACAGGGAAAAAGTTAAGCAAGAGATCCCAAAAAGAAATTCCTGTTTTGGAAAACACAACCTGCAAGTATCTTATATTGTCTAATCCTACACTACTCTTCCTACTGTACTGCTGTCCTCTGCATGACTGTAGCTAGTAGCTTTAAAGGAATGTTCTGAGATGATATAAATTAAACTCAATCAACTGCATCTGAATAATGGTGTCAGATTACCACAGAAAATAACTTCAATGAAAACAAATTTATTTATTTATAAAAAA